AATGTGATTTGAGAGATTCTTCCTCTGAAATACAGTCTACAACACCTGCTATTCCTTGGCAGTACTCAGGGCTGGCCCTAGGTAATTTTCAATGGTAAGCAAACATTATTTTGGCGCCCCCTCCCCCCAACCAATCACTGAAAAATAAAACGTAGAAGGTAGAGGTGAATAAAAGAGTTACCTTACAAACCAGAAATTTACTTGCAACATTATGTTTATATAGTTACATTACACAAATTAACTTTTTTAAGAATGCAAATATTTTACTAAACTTAGCAACAATTTTAAGTTTTTGTTGTTATTTTTGGTCTACAAGTACTACACAAAGGTTTCCTGGTCATGCTGTCTCTTCAGAGAAGATTTTTCAGACTAGGGGTTTGCTAATACAGAGAACTCAATCCCATGCTTGTTGGGTCTGTCAATCAGATTTGTTTTGGAGAACGCAGCCCCAGGAGAATAGACACCTCCTTTTGAAGAAAGTGAACTCTTGTCCTTCAAAAGTGCCATGCCAGCCTGGACCATTACAATGGGTGTGGCAACATAGTCAGCCTCTGGCCCCTTCACTTTAGTGGATACTTTAACATCCAGTTTTCCTTAACACAAATAAACTTGAACACTTTTAAAATTAAAAAGAGATTTTTCTGGCTTTCAATTTTGAAAACTCGTGTACTATTATATCTGTTTCCATTTCATCCAACAAGCCATTTTCAATGGCCAAGGTTGCTAGTCCACTCAAGCGCTCTTGACTCAAAGTTGATCTTAAATACGTTTTTATAAGTTTTCTAAGATCTACAGAGACACTCGCTGGAACACCTCAGCAAGCGAGAGTCCAAAAGTGGCAGGCTCAAACCCAGCACCTCAGCCCATGGCTGATACCAGATGAGAGACTCCCCCCTGGGCACACAGAGGACTGGGCGACTTGGAAATGGAAAGGAATCACACAGGATCATATTTTTGCAGTCCATTAAGTGTGTTGATGACAAATCAGATAAAGGAATACTGGGGAAATTAATATAAAGCAGTGTGTATAAAGGGACATTACATTTGGTAATCTAATGCAGGCTTTAAAAGGTTTTAAAGATCAAGTCAGGGTCTGCTGCAGTTTTTAGTTTTGGATATGTTTTTTATGGATTTTAACTGAATTTTTAAAATACCAATGATATTTAATTCCATTTTAATGTTTGCATATTTGTGGATTTTAGACTGTACTGAAATGTTTTTAATCTAAGCCAACTTGAGTCTTCTTGGGGAGAGAAAAAGCAGGGTATAAATAAACATACTAATGTGTTGTGGAAGGCTTTCATGGCCAGAATCAGAGTTGCTGTGAGTTTTCTGGGGTGTATGGCCATGTTCCAGAAGCATTCTCTCCTGACATTTTCCCCACATCTATGGCAGGCAACCTCAGAGGAACAAAATCTGGCTACCAGTACCCTCTAAAATAACCCTCTAAAATCAGAACAATAAATAAAGAGCAACACTAAAAAAGGGGGGAATTCCTGACATGAAGCAATCAGGGCCAGTTAACCGCTCCCAACAAAGGATTCTTGGGCAGCAACTAGCTCGGCTTCGAAGCTGCAAGGCCATTAAATACTCATCAAGATGACCAATTGCAACATTCACACTTACCTCAAGCAGACATGAGTTCTTTTTCCCACCCTGGACATTCCACAGATATACAAATCCCACTTGCCTAGTTACAAACAGACCTCACAGCCTCTTGAGGATGCCTGCCATAGATGTGGGTGAAACATCAGGTGAGAATGCTTCACCAAGCACCAAAGAGCATTCTGAGCTCCACCAACAATAGAACTGAACCAAACTTGGCATACCGGACTTCCATGACTAACAGAAAATACTGGAGAGGGGGTTGGGAAAAATAGACCCTGACATTTGGGAATTGCAGTTTACCAAGCACCAAAGAACATTCTGAGCTCCACCAACAATAGAATTGAACCAAACTTGGCATACAGCACTTCCATGACTAACAGAAAATACTGGAGAGGGGGTTGGGAAAAATAGACCCTGACATTTGGGAATTGCAGTTTACCAAGCACCAAAGAACATTCTGAGCTCCACCAACAATAGAATTGAACCAAACTTGGCATACAGGACTTCCATGACTAACAGAAAATACTGGAGAGGGGGTTGGGAAAAATAGACCCTGACATTTGGGAATGGCAGTTTACCAAGCACCAAAGGACATTCTGAGCTCCACCAACAATAGAATTGAACCAAACTTGGCATACAGGACTTCCATGACTAACAGAAAATACTGGAGAGGGGGTTGGGAAAAATAGACCCTGACATTTGGGAATTGCAGTTTACCAAGCACCAAAGAACATTCTGAGCTCCACCAACAATAGAATTGAACCAAACTTGGAATACAGGACTTCCATGACTAACAGAAAATAATGGAGAGGGGGTTGGGAAAAATAGACCCTGACATTTGGGAATTGCAGTTTATCAAGCACCAAAGAACATTCTGAGCTCCACCAACAATAGAATTGAACCAAACTTGGCATACAGGACTTCATGACTAACAGAAAATACTGGAGAGGGGGTTGGGAAAAATAGACCCTGACATTTGGGAATTGCAGTTTACCAAGCACCAAAGAACATTCTGAGCTCCACCAACAATAGAATTGAACCAAACTTGGCATACAGGACTTCCATGACTAACAGAAAATATGGAGAGGGGGTTGGGAAAAATAGACCCTGACATTTGGGAATTGCAGTTTACCAAGCACCAAAGAACATTCTGAGCTCCACCAACAATAGAATTGAACCAAACTTGGCATTACCCCCCCCCCCCCCCCCCCCCCCCCTCCCCCCCCCCCCCCCCCCCCCCCCCCCCCCCCCAGGACTTCCATGACTAACAGAAAATACTGGAGAGGGGGTTGGGAAAAATAGACCCTGACATTTGGGAATTGCAGTTTACCAAGCACCAAAGGACATTCTGAGCTCCACCAACAATAGAATTGAACCAAACTTGGCATACAGGACTTCCATGACTAACAGAAAATACTGGAGAGGGGGTTGGGAAAAATAGACCCTGACATTTGGGAATTGCAGTTTACCAAGCACCAAAGAACATTCGGAGCTCCACCAACAATAGAATTGAACCAAACTTGGCATACAGGACTTCCATGACTAACAGAAAATACTGGAGAGGGGGTTGGGAAAAATAGACCCTGACATTTGGGAATTGCAGTTTACCAAGCACAAAAGGACATTCTGAGCTCCACCAACAATAGAATTGAACCAAACTTGGCATACAGGACTTCCATGACTAACAGAAAATACTGGAGAGGGGGTTGGGAAAAATAGACCCTGACATTTGGGAATTGCAGTTTACCAAGCACAAAGAACATTCTGAGCTCCACCAACAATAGAATTGAACCAAACTTGGCATACAGGACTTCCATGACTAACAGAAAATACTGGAGAGGGGGTTGGGAAAAATAGACCCTGACATTTGGGAATTGCAGTTTACCAAGCACCAAAGGACATTCTGAGCTCCACCAACAATAGAATTGAACCAAACTTGGCATATAGGACTTCCATTACCAAATACTAGAGAGGTTTGGGGGAGGCATGTACAAAAGATGACATTTGCAGTACCTTTTGACGAGGCCTCCTTGCTGCCCTGAGAGGGGTCCAGGCTCAGCTGCAGGGAAGGAAAGGGAAAGCGAAAGAGCCTGGCTGGCTGCCTCCTGGCAGCACGTGGAGGGAGGACTTCCCTCTCGCGTAGTGGGCGGGCCTGCGCTTCTCCATTAGAAGGCTGTTGAGGGCGCATGGGGCCTGCAGGAGGAGGCGTGGCCTAAGGACAAAACAGCGCCCCCTGGCAAAAAAAGTATTCCGCCACCGCTTACTTCGAGTAATGGACGGGCCGGCCCTGGCAGTACTGCACCTAAGTACTAAACAGACTCTGCTCAGCTTCCAAAATGAGAGAAGATCTGGTGCATTCATGGTATTTGAGATATTGAGACTTTACCTCTAATCCCAAATTTGCAAGTGCTTTACATTAATTATACACATGAAAGTGCACAGCATGTAATTCACATAAATGGGATGCTGGGATTTCCCTCTAGTAAGCTTTTAGAATGAGGATAACAGGGACAAAGGCTTGATCTAAATCAGCGTTTCTCAACCTGGGGGTTGGGAGCCCTGGGGGATCGCACGTGGGTGTCAGATGGGGTTGCCAAAGACCATCAGAAAACACAGTATTTTCTGTTGGTCATGGGGGTTCTGTGTGGGAAGTTTGGCCCAATTCTATCATTGGTGGGGTTCAGAATGCTCTTTGATTGTAGGTGAACTATAAATCCCAACAACTGCAACTCCCAAATGTCAAGGTCTGTTTTCCCCAAACTCCACTAGTGTTCACATTTGGCCATATTGAGTATCAGTGCCAAGTTTGGTCCAGATCCATCACTGTTTGAGTCCACAGTGCTCTCTGGATGTAGGTGAACTACAACTCTAAAACTCTGTTGGTCATGGGAGTTGTGTGCCAAGTTTGGTTCAATTCCATCATTGGTGGACTTCTGATTGTTCTTTGATTGTAGGTGAACCATAAATCCAGGCAATTACAACTCCTAAAGGACAAAATCAATCCACCAGTATTCAAATTGGGGTATATCGGGTATTTGTGCCAAATTTTGTCCAGGGAACGAAAATACATCCTGCATATCAGATATTTACATGACAACTCATAACATTAGCAAAGTTATAAAGTAGCAACGAAAACAATGTTATGGTTGGGGGTCACCACAACATGAGGAACTGTATTAAGGGGTCGTGACATAAGGAAGGTTGAGAACCACTGATCTAAATGCTCATTTCCCTTTGAGCATTTAGATCAAGCCAGCCTACTGTGGAAAGTGCAAGCTAGCAATTTTTCCTGTTAATAGATTGTCCAGATGAGCACATCTCACTGCTGTGTCAGATTTCTGAGAGTGCGATTCAGCATTTCATTATAATTGTGGAGAGATTCACATCAGACATTTGGTAAAATAAAGTGAACATTTCACATAATTTATTTGGAATGGCCACATCAAAGGAAAAAAAGCAACATAAAGACAGGTGCTCCTTTGAAAAGCAGTAATCAAAAATAAATACAAAAGACAGATCCTACAAATAATATAAATTATGTTCTTTTCCCCATCTGGAGAAGTTGAGCAGTCTTTGCATTTTATAAATAGAAAATGAAACAGTAGTTTGCAAGCTGGTCTCCTTTTCTGTTCGCCAGACGGTGTGTTTTCTAAGTCTCTTTGGTCAGTAAATGCCTTTCAGTAAAGACTTGACTATTCTGCTCAGCAGCATCAAATCTGATGAAATCTAGGCAGCTTTTGGCACCCAGCTTTGCTTTCCTTCATTGGTACCTTCTTCCAGTGCAAATGAATCCCAGTCCAAGGCACTTGGTCTTGTTTGCCATCCAAAGCTAAGTTCTAGAGGAAGAGAAAAGTAGAAAACCATCAAGGAAATGAAAGTGAATACATTTTGTTATGGAAGGCTTTCATAGCTGGAATCACTGGGTTGCTGTGAGTTTTCCGGGCTGTATGGCCATGTTTGAGAAGCATTCTCTATTGACATTTCACCCACATCTATGGCAGGCATCCTCAGAAGTTGTGAGGTCTTTTGAAAACTAGGCAAGTGAAGTTTATATTTCCGTGGAATGACCAGGGTGGGAGAAAGAACTCTTGTCTGCTTGAGGCAGGTGTGAATGTTGCAATTGGCCACCTTTATTAGCATTGAATGACCTTGCAGCTTCAAAGACTGGCTGATTCCTGCCTGAGTTGTTAGCTGGTCCCGATATACATTCACACCTTCCTCAAGCAGACAAGAGTTCTGCCTCTTACACTGGATAGTCCACAGACTGCCTAGTTTCCATCAGACCTCACCACCTGTCACGGATGTGGGTGAAACATCAGGAGAGAATGCTTCTGGAACATGGTCCTACAGTCCAGAAAACTCATAGCAACCCAGTGAATACATTTTCCTCAAAGAAAACTATTGACTGTGCCCCCATTTTCTGATCAAATGAAGTTTTCACTAGCCACAGTCCTTTACCATCATGCTTTCCTCCAAAGCCTTGTATGTGTAACGAACAGCAGGGAACTTGTGCCCCTCAAGAAGTTGTTGACATCGGAGTCCCCGCATCATCCCATTATGAGCAACGTAAATCGGGAGTGATGTGAGTTGCAGTTTAACATTATCCAGAGGATCACAAGTTGCTTACCCTGCACTAAATTATCACAAAAATGACATGCAAGGCAATGCTGATTTTTGATTCAAGGTCCATTGAGCTCAGTGAGATTTCCTCCTTCGTAAGCCAGTGATCTGAGCACTGGGCTATGACTCTGGAGATCAGGGTTCAAATCTCCACATGGCCATGTAAACCCACTAGGGCAAGCATGGGCAAACTTTGGCCCTCCATGTGTTTTGGACTTCAACTCCCACATTTCCTAACGGCCTTAGGCCCCTTCCTTTCCCCCCCTCAGCCGCTTCAGCTTGCAGAACTCGAACCCCCCCCCCTTGTTCCTTAAGTGCTTAGAAGAGTCCTTTTGTTCTCTCTCCACATCCAGTGTAAGTTTCTTTTAACATTGCAGAGAAAGGATTTCCACTATGTTGGAACAAAAGCACGCACCACATGGCTAGTCTAGTTCAGGCTATCTGGCAGGAAGAGGATGTCTGAATCATCTTGTTTTCTCCATAAAAGGAGTCTGTTTGTACCAGTACAGCTTTGTGAGCCACTTGCACCAAGGAACACTGGCTTCGGGAACATCTACGTGCGGATCCTAGCCCCCCCCCCCTCCCCGGCAAGGATCAACCTTTCTCTGTACAGTCTCTCTTTCACCAGTCATCCCCATCCAACTGCAACAAGGTGGGTTTTCCAGGCTGTATGGCCATGTTCCAGAAGCATTCTCTCTTGACGTTTCACCCACATCTATGGTAGGCACCCTCAGAGGTTATGAGGTCTGTTGGAAACTAGGCAAGTGGAGTTTATATCTCTGTGGAATGTCCAGAGTGGGAGAAAGAACTCTTGTCTGCTTGAGGCAAGTGTGAATGTTGCAACTGGCCATTTTGATTAGCACTGAATGGCCTTGCAGCTTCAAAGACTGGCTGCTTCCTGCCTGGAGGAATCCTTTGTCAGGAGGTGTTAGCTGACCCTGGTTATTTCCTGTCTGGAATTCCCCTATTTTTGAGTCTTGCTATTTATTTACCGATTTTAGGGTTTTTAAAATACTGGTAGCCAGATTTTGTTCATTTTCATAGTTTCCTCCTGTCTGTTGAAATTGTCCACATGCTTGTGGATTTCAGTGGCTTCTTTGTGTAGTCTGACATGGTAGCTGTTAAGAGTGCTGGGCCACTCCAGTTGTGCTCTCAAGTCAATGGAAAGCGGCAACCTGTATTGGCCTAACTGGTGTGTATGCGTGTGTGTGTGTGTGTGTGTGTGTGTGTGTGTGTGTGCAAGATCCCTCCATGCACAATCTACTCCCTCTGGGTTACTACAAGCCAAGAACATTTGCAGCTGAGCACCGCAAGCACATCCATGGATAGTAAGGAGAGCAAGTCATGGAATACCCTTCTGCTTTAGTTTGTAATTGCAAACATCTCACACCCAATGAGTTAGGAAACACCACTGCATCTGCATACATGGATTATTCATTTCATATCCATCAGTGCAGAGCAACAGTCCAAGATCTTGCAGGAAACCTCCCAACGAAGGATTCCCCCAGGCAGGAAGCAGCCAGACCTTGGAACTGCAAGGCCATTAAATACTAATCAAGGTGGCCAATTGCAGCATTCACACCTGCCTCAAATGGATAAAGAATTCTTTCTCCCACCTTGGACATTCCACAGACATATAAACCCCATTTTACTAGTTTCCAACAGACCTCACAACCTCTGAGGAGGCACGCCACAGATGCAGGCAAAACGTCAGGAGATAATGCTTCTGGAACATGGGCATACAGCCTTGAAAACTTACAACAATCTTGGAGTTGTTTCTTTGGATGAGAACTCCCAATGCCCTTTGTGCTATGATGGGATTCTGGCTCTAGCTAGACCAGGCAGGGACAAACTTCGGCCCACCGGGTGTTTTGGACTTCAACTCCCAGAATTCCTAACAGCCTCAGGCCTCTTCCTTTTCCTTTTCAGCCTCTGTTAGGAATTGTGGGGAGTTGAAGTCCAAAACACCTGGAGGGCCGAAGTTTGCTATTCTATGGAACTGTGGCTGTTTCAGGTCAACAGGTCTTTAGCCTTCCCTACTGGAGTCCATCCTGGTGCCTTCCCACCCTCCCAGGGCGGCTTGTCTTGAGCCATGGCAGGTGGTCCAGGGGCACCAGCAGACTGCAGGCATTCTACAGAGACACTTGCTGGAACACCTCAGCAAGTGAGAGTCCAAAAGCAGCAGGCTCAAACCCAGAACCTCAATCAATGGCTGATACCAAATGAGAAACTCCCTCCTGGGCACACAGAAAACTGGGGAACTTGGAAGGCGCTGAACAGACTGCGCTCTGGCACCACGAGATGCAGAGCCAACCTTAAAAGATGGGGCCACAAAGTGGAATCCATGACATGTGAGTGTGGAGATGAGCAAACCGCAAACCACCTCCTACAATGCAACCTGAGCTCTGCCACATGCACAATGGAGGACCGGTGATGATATGATAGCTGGGTCCGGAAGCTCTGAGCGTTACAGAGATGCCTCAAAGGCGGCTGTGAATAAGGGAAGAGAGGGGGCAGAGTGGGAGTGGGGAGAGGGAAGGAAGGATAGAAAGGAGGGGATGGTAAGGGTTAGGACAAGGGGCTACGGTTGGGGTTACAGTAAGGGCTTGGCTTACAATATGGTTCAGGGCTAGGGTTTCACTGTTAAAGAACTCTTCCATTCCTTCTATGTTCTCTGTCTCCGGCCTGGCTTACATTAGCTAAGTCTCTCTTGCGCAAACAGTGCTCCAGAAGGAGCGATGCGGCATCTCTGTAGCAGACCCAGCTATCATACTATTGTATTGTCGAAGGTTTTCATGGCTGGAATCACTGGGTTTTCGGTCAGACCTCACAACCTCTGAGGATGCTTGCCATAGATGCAGGATTAACGTCAGGAGAGAATGCTTCTAGAACATGGCCATATAGCCCGAAAAAACCTACAACCTATCGTACTATTACCGGTGCACCTTCTTATAGTATCATCAGAGGCACTCCAAGTGGCCAGCTACTGGTCAAAGGAATGGAATGCCAAGTTTGGAAACTTTGTGTGTGTGTGCGTGTGTGTGTTTTAATGCAATACAACTGTTTGGTTCGCTCCTGACACGATAAATAAATAACTTGGCGGAGCAGCTCACCTTGGTCATGAAGAGGCGCGCGCGAGCCTGGGCCGGCGCGTGGGGGCCTGGGCGTAGGGCGCGCGCTCGGGCTCCCTCCTCTGCGGGGCCTTCCGGGCCTTCCCTCCTTCCTCCTCCTCCTCCTCCTCTCCCTCTTCCCCTTCTTCTTCTCCCTCTTTCTGCCGCCGGCTCCTGAAGTCCCGGAGGGCGCGCTTGTTCTGGAAGTCGATGAGGGCGAGGGTGATGGAGGCGTTCCAGCAGCTCTCCCCGGGGCAGCGGAAGTCGATCTCCCTCCGGTCTTTGGTGACGATGGTGAAGTAGACGTACTTGCCGGTCCGCTCCACGCAGTCCACCTTCTGGATGGCGCCGAAGCGCAGCTCCTTCCCGCCGCTGCCCTCCGGCGAGAAGAGGCTCAGCCCGTCCGCCCGCAGCTCCGCCCGCTTCTTCTTCCACAGCTGCAGCAGGCTGGCGCTCCGCTTCTCCAGCTCCCCCGCCCGCAGCACGCCCGCCGAGCCAGGAAGAGGAGGAGCGGCCCCCGAGGGAGGCAGCACGGGGCCCTTCATGCTCACCGAGGCTTCTCCCGCTGCGCAGCCACGGAACAGCCCTCCTCCGCTCTCCCTCTGGGACTGGCAGACCTGACACGCGGGGAGAAGCCTTTATAGCCTTCTGAGCGCTCTCCAAGCCCCGCCCCCGGCCAGGCACACAAACCACGCCCCTCTAAACTGGCCCCGCCCCCACCGCCCCCGCGAAGTGCTCCCTCCCCCGGAGTGATTCTGCCCTTCTCCCTCGCGCCGGATGTTTCCGCCTGGGTGGGGCCGGGTTCATCCAGGCTGGGTGTGCGCAGTCGCTGCCAAGACATCAACGCAGCCTTTGGATTCCCTTATATTATCACCATGACCCGGCCGTGGGTTCTTTGGACGGCTACGAATACAGAAAAGGCCGCCCTTTGTTTCACTCGGCACAAGCGACAGGAGAGAACAAAGCGCTGTCCTTGGTGGCCTTTTTGCCCTGACTGCCCCCACTGGGTCCCGACTTCCCAACGCCAAATCATCATAGAGTTGGAAGAGATCGCGTGGCCCATCCAGTCCAACCCCATTCGGCCAAGAGGCAGGATAATCGCATTCAAAGCACCCCCGACAGATGGCCATCCAGTCTCTGTTTAAAAGCTCCAAAGAAAGAGCCTCCACTGAACTATACATCCCAGAAACTACAACTCGCATATCTCAAGGTCTATTTTCCCCCAAGAGCACCTCAAGAGCGCCCCTGGGCAAAATCAACTATACGGCAAATGCTTACTTTGCGTAATGGGTTGAGCTGCCCCTGCCTCCACCACACTCCGAAAGTTCCACTCCTGAACACCTCTCACAGGAAGTTCTTCTTAATGTTCAGGTGGAATCTTCTTTCCTGTAGTTTGAAGCCATCGTCCTAGTCTCCAGGGCAGCAGAAAACAGGCTTGCTCCCTCCTCCCTATGACTTCCCCTCACATATTTATACATGGCCATCATGTTTCCTCTCCGCCTTCTCTTCTGCAGGCTAAACATGCCCACCTCCTTAAGCCACTCATCATAGGCCTTGTTCTCCAGACCCTTGATCATTCTAGTCATTCTCCTTTGGACACATTCCAGCTTGGTAACATCTCCCTTCAATTGTGGTGCCCAGAATTGGACACAGTATGCCAGGTGTGGTCTAACCAAGGTGGAATATTGGTAGCTGAATGTCGGAATAGACTTGGCTGGAAGGCTTTGCATTTATATTTGTGACAACTCCATCTGCGCTGCCATACAATGCAGATTGAACTGCACTGGAGTGGACTATAACAGGCATGGGCAAACTTTGGCCCATCAGGTGTTTTGGACTCCCAACTTCCACAATCCTAACATCCAGTAGGCTGCTAGGAATTGTGGGAGTTAAAGTCCAAAATACCTGGAGTGCCATAGTTTGCCCATGCCTGATCTACACGGCTATATAATCCAGTTCAATCTGCATTTTCATGGATGGGGCCCCAGTCATGCATGCCTGGCATCACCCCGGTCATTTTCTTCTTTTCTTCCCTTCCCCAGTTTTTAAATCTAACTTTTAACAGAAAATACACAAGTAAAAAAAAGCCAATGCCCATACAAACATAAACATACTTGAACAACATTTTCTAGCATTTACATAATTACACAATTTGTCTCATACAACCTATGTTATATTATTATATTTGCCACTTTTTCTTTTAACAGAGACTCAAAGTGGCAAACATTGCTAATAAACTTTATTATAAAACTTAAAAGACTATAAACATTAAACTAGAATTAAACCAAACACTAAAAACAGTTCAAACCATTAAAAACCTACACCTCTAAACACAAATTTGAAATACATACAGTAGAGTCTCATGATCCGACCTTTGCTTATCCGATAGTCAGTCTTATCTGACGCCCCCTTTTTCCTCAGCATTTCCCCTTCAATTAAAGGAACGCTCTCCAACTCTCCATTTCCAATAAGTGAAAAAGGCAAGAGGAGGAAGAGAAGGAGGAGAGAAGAAAGGGGGAAAAGAGGCAGGACCAGAAGCGGAAGCATCCTCCCTTCTTCGCTCTGTGATTTCCACACTCCTCTTCCGCATCCGGGCACTTCCTGCTGGTTTGCTCTAGCCCCAAGGCATTGCCTTGCCTTACCCCTTTGAGTCTATGTTGTTAGTATTCTAGGTGTCTAGCATTGCGTTGGATGTGTAAAAGTAGGAGGCTTCGTATTATCTGACATTTTTGTTTATTTGATGTTCTGCTTCCCATTTATGTCGGATAAGCGAGACTCTACTGTATATACATAAATTAATTTTTACAAAGGATTTCCTGCTTCTCTTTTTTCTGTCACCTTATACATTTCATCATCAGTTTTCTGGCTCAGACAACAAGGGTAGCTTGCTTGGCAGTCCTTTCCCACAAGGGCCATCGAAATATTTATGAGAATCCCCAACCAGAATAGGAATCAGGCAACCAATGTGCAGAGATACACATATTTTAATATTGGAGCTCAAAGAAAGTTATTATGAGTTGTGGATCATTGGTAGTTGTATCAGACATGGCTATACTTAATCTCCCTTTTAAAACCATCGGAGTTGGGGAGGGGAAAGTGGATGACAATTTATGCACAGTCCTTGTAAGGCGGGGTAGCATTTGCATGAGTACAAGCTTAGGTGTGTGGCCTTGTTGGCTTGGGAGTTGTTAGTATATGCAAATGAAATTGTAGTTGGAAAGGGTTGCAAGAGCCATCTAGTATAACTCCCTGCCAACATAAAACACTCCCAAAAGATGCTCATTCAGCCTTAGTTTAAAAATTAGGAGGGGCCACCATCTTCTCAGGCAGTCCATTCAATTGTTGAGTAGGTCTTACAGTCAAGAGGTTTCCCCTAATGTTTAGGTGGATTTTCTTTTCTTTAATTACAATAGGTTGGTTCATGTTCTTGTTTCCAGAGCAAGTATAGGTAAACTTGGGCCCACCAGGTGTTTAGGACTCCAACTCCCACCATTCAGACCTCTTCCTTTTCCTGACTGAAGGGGGAAATTAAGGGGCCTGAGGTCCCTTAGGAATGGTGGGAGTTGAAATCCAAAACACCTGGAGGGCCCATGTTTGCCATTCCTGTTCTAGAGAGACAGAAAACAAACTCACTTCATCTTCTACATGACATCCCTTCAAATATCTAAGCTGGCTGTTGTTATCACCTCTCAATCTTTTCTTCTTCAAGGTAAAAATACTCAACTCCTGAAGGTGCTTCTCATAGGCTTTGGTGTACAGACTTTTTATCATTTTCTCATCTGGACATGTGTCACTTCACAAATATCACAAATATCCACAGTACTCAGAATGGTCACAGAATTCTATACATATTTACAAGTTGATGTAATGGTTTTACAGAACTATTTTGCACTTGCAAACGGATATAACCACTGGCCAGCAAAGATCTATTTCATTTTAGTCTGTGTGATGCGTTTCTATTTCATTTTAGTTTGTGTTATAAGTTATCCATGTGTGCTGAAAGAAATGTATAGCTGAATCACACATGACAGGAATAAACTGACTATGTATGTCAATGCTATCATTTCTATTTTTTTTTCACTTTTGTGAGAGAGGTTGCAGAAATTGCCACCCCAGATCATACTGAAATTATGATGATTTTTGGTATTCTCCTTGTGATGTCTATGGCATTGCCACCCTGATGCATGACAGGAAGTTGCTGCTAACTGTGAGAGAAATAAGGTTCAACACTGTGAAAGCCATGCACTGCATGGCTATCAGCCTCCTCCCAATAGACTCAAATAAAGGAAAAGCTTCATAAGAACCACCGCTTCTTTTAATGTTTTCCCATCAACAGCAAGTGCATCCCTCTGGGCAGCTAAACAGGAAATCCCAAATGGATGGCCCCCAGCAGGGTCTGCCTTGAGAGGCAAACCAAGAATGGGTAACCTGGGAGTCCCTGAATAGACTCAGAAGTGGAGTAGGCAGATCAAAAGACAACCTGGCAAAATGGTACTACCGAGAAGAATCCTCCACCTTGTGTGACTGTGGAGCAGAACAAGCAACCCTGTATGTCTATCCACAATGCCCTGCCTCATGCACAGAGGAAGACAATGCGGACAAAGATAAAGCTACAGACAATGCCGTCGCCGTTTTTGGTCTAAAATTATTTTGCTGCTTGTGCTTCCTCTATTTTATCAGTTTTATGCTTATTTATGCAATACTTTTGACACAAAATAAATAAATAAATAAATTCTAAATATTACAAATGCAAATTTTTCATATGGGTCTGGAAAGAAATCTTTTTCAAATTAAGATTTGACGTCTACTTAGCAATGACTTTAGTAAGGGGAGAACCATGTCTTCCAACTCACAGATTGCAAATAGGAAATGCTAAAAACCACAAAATCTAAGGCCAGGTTGTTTTAAAGGATTAAGTGTCCTCTCTGGAATTTGTTACGAATTTGTGTTGCTTTCCTCATCCCTCTTTTCCTCACAGTTCCCTGCTGGCTCCTGCTCTCTTTCAGCAAAGATTTCCGGTTTCCCTCCCTTGTGCCTTGAAAGTCCATTATCTCTGCGACAACAAGGCTGCTCTCTATCAGTCAGTCGCAGCCTTGGACTCTTCCCAAGTTTTGCTCAACAGCTGGGCTGGGAGACAGAGGAGGCCTCTTTTAATGTAAAGGCCATTAGTAAGAATTCCTTTCTTACAGGAAACCTGACATGATTTCACTTTGATTTAGTAACATCTATCTGATGAAAGACAGACATTCTGTTCTCTGAGGACACTCCATGGGGACAGTATCACCTTGCTGGGAACTAAAAAAAGGGAAAATCAGGGGGGAGGGGGAGGTAGAAGAGTCTAGCAGGACTCTTGTTTATTTTTGCACAAGCATTCATGGATATTGGATGGGTGACACTTGGCTTGACAGCAGTACATGTGACAGGGATCAAGGAGTCTTAGTGGACCAAAAGCTGAACATAATTCAACAGTGTGATGCAACAGGTAAAAAAAAAATCAATGCTTTGCTTTTGTGTTCCTGCATGACAGTGAGTTGGACTGGATGGCCCTTTTAGACCCCTTCTAAACTGTCCTTATATCCCAGAATCTGATCCCAGATTATTTGCTTATCCCACATTATGGCGCCGTGGTAGCAGCAGCGAACTT